TATAAATAGTTTATTTTAAATAAAATCCTAAGAAAATATCTTTATGGAACACCAACATTTTCTCTACAAAATGGTCGTTTCCAACGCGTAAATTGACCAAAATTATAGAAGAATTTAGTCTACATCATCACAATCTAACCGACACACCATCCCAATATGACCGGCGCCATGACCGATATACCATTCAAACATGACCGAGACATCATCACAACATGACCGGGACACCATCAGCAAGTTCATTAGCAAGGTCTGGCTCATCCCTCAAGGCAAGCTATTTCAGCAGCGGTTCATTAGCCAAGTCTGGCTCACCCCTCCCACAAGGCAAGTTGTTTCAGCAGCAGGTTCATTAGCCAGGTCCGGCTCACATGTTCCCCACACTTTTTCTATTTAGCCTGCCACATGCAGGCTCAATGTTGACATTTTTTGAATCAGCCTTGATGTTTGCAAGGTCTTCATCAATCAGGTGGTGCATGGTCACATCTTTCTCATTGCCTGTGAGGCTTAAGAGAACTATATATAGCCAACAACCATTTGCAAAGCAGTTCATGTGAACTCTGAAGGCACTTGTTGGCAAACATATTCACATCAAACGTTTTGCTCTTTCATCCAGCCTTCAAGCTGACTCAACTTGAGTTTTTCATTTTTTGCATGTGGCCAAATCATGACCAGCAGCCTTGCAAAAGGCTTAAGAGGATCAATGAACTGAGAAGGCAAGCACCTCATGTCACAAAAGAAGCTTTGCATTAGGTATTGGCACATGTAGAAGAACATAGCATACCTGAAGACCACAATCCTAAACATATGAGGAAAGCTGCCCAACAAGATTTGGCACAGTGGGATGCCTATGGCCCTCTCCTTGTCACCAAACAGTTGGTGGGTGTTTCTGGACAATGTATACCTATGATGTTTGTCAATTTGTTGACACTCTTGCATGCTTGCTACAAGCAGGGCGGTTTTCCCCATGACTTGGTGCAGCGCACTGTAGCAAGAACAGGTGCACCTTCACCTCAGAAGCCTTGGTCCCTCTGTTTATATAGCGATGAATGCTGGCCAGCTAACCCCCTATCTCACAAAAGTGAGAAAAAGCTGTGGGTGAGCTACGCAACATTCAAAGAGTTTGGAAGTCAGTACGTGAGCAGCCAAAACAGCTGGCTACTTGTCATGGTGGCCAGATCATCTTTGGTGGCTGAAGTTGAAGGGAACATGGGTCAAATCATGAAAGAAATCTTGTTGGGTCTGTTCTGCTCTCGAAGGGCATCACCTTTGGATAATTGGTGTAGTCTTGCAGGGCCCCAGCACAAGTGACAGGCTGACTCTGTTTTCCAATTTGCAATATTCATTCAGGATGGGGCATCACAAAAGTTGACACTTGGTGTGAAAGGTGACAGTGGGACAAAGCACTGTATGAAACGCGCAAACCAAAACATTTGTTCAGCCACCTGGTGCAGAAGAAGCTTGTTGCGCTGCCAAGACCAAAGCTGAACTGATCTTGTGCAAAAACGAAGACATTTATGCTTCCTTGGACCGCCTCACAACTGAAAGTGCTCAATCTTTCAAACTGAGAGAGCAAGCCAGTGGTTGGACCTTTTCAACTGAAATGCTGCTGAACTGCCAGCAGCTTAGACCTCTTACCAAGCCTTGCGCATCCTTCATGCACGATTGGATGCATTGCCTGTGCCAAGGGGGTGATGAATGTGTGCCAGTAAAGGCTTTTTGAAGATGTCAAGAAGGCAGGCGTGGACAGCTGGTCAAGCATGGCAGGGTACAGTGGCCTGTTTACATTGCCAAAGCAATACAAGAACTGCAAGATGCCAGAAATTTTTGGCAAAAGGGAATCTTCTTCTAGAAAAGCAAAGAAATTTAAAGTTTCTGCCTCAGACATGCTGACAATTTACAATGTGTTGAGGCATTGGCCAATTTTCATTGGCATGCACTGGTGCAGAACTTCTTGTGAAGCATGGCTGGCCATGTGTGATGTCTTGGACCTCTTGCTGTGCACCATGTATGGCCACCCCATCAACCCAAACCAGCTTGATCGGTTTGTGGAAATTGCTCTCCAGAAGGGTGTTGAAGCTGGCTGGGAAACTTCTTACATCAAGAAGTTTCATTGGATGCTCCATTTGGAGACAGCTACAGGAACCATTCTACATTGATAGCAACCTGGGCCATGGAACGGAAACACAAAAGGATAACTTCAGTGGCCAATTGCTACACAAATCTCAGCAGGTATGAGCAGGCACAAAACTTGACAACTGCTGGTTTGGTAACATTTGGCAAGGCAACCAAAGCTTTCATTGCCTTTGTTCGAGTCACATTCTCTGATGTGGAAAGAAAGATACTCACACTTGTTCCATCATATATTTGGAAACTGGTGGGCAAGCGAGCTCTGGTGATGTTATTTTGATTGCCTCAAATCTCAAATGGGATTGTGGTATGCTTCACACATGCTTTTTCAGTTGGCCAAGACAGTTTTTGCTTGGTTGGCTTGCATGGGCTGTTGGAATACAATGTGGACCAATGCTCTGCAAAATGGACAAGCACTGAAGACTTGCGCGTCATTCCCGCTTCCCATGTTCCGACTGCTGTGACGTACAGCACGAGCAGGGATGGGATCCTGACTCTGATCCCACCTCACCAGCAGCTACGGTGGAAAACTGTGCTGTGTCTGTGGGTTCAACCACAACACACGCTAGCCAAGTGTCTCATTCACTTTGATATTTCTAACTTTTTGTAATTTTCCTAACTCCAGCTTAATTATCTTAATTATGTCAACTACTTAGTAACACACCGGCCCATAGAAGAAGAGACCCTATATGTCAGGCAAGGCTGGCATAGATTAAAAGGCTCAATTTAGAACAGCCACGGCTGCTGCTGCAACAACAACAAGAAGAATAACAACAATATACGACAACTACTACTAACACTACCACTACCACTATATACACCACGACGACTACTACTACGACGACTACGACCACTCCTAGACACTACGACGACGCCATTATTTTTTGCCGCTGCTGCAACTTGGCCGAGCTTGTGCCACACACTCTACCCTCATGTACCAACACGTGCCCTCACACCGCGAAATCTACTCCAGCTGCTGCACTGTTTCCCCTTACCCTTCCATACTATTCCCAGACGCGGGTCTTTGCGTGGAGCGTGCTCTTTGCGTGGAACTGTTTGGCCGGGCGAAGTCGCACCGACATATCTCCTCAATTGCGCAGTCCTTCAAGAGGTTGCGGGCGCAGCAGGTTTTCTCTGCTCACGCGACATTTGTGTTTCATTGCTGGCCATATCAACGCGCCGCCAACAACCAACGGGCACAGGATCACAGAATTGCCGGGAACAAAAAACACCTTGACGGTGTTGCAGGGAACAAAAAACACCTTGGCGGCCGCAAAACAAACCTTTACTAGCGGCAACAGAAAACACCTGTGGGCTCAGAAAACACCATTCCGGGAAAGGGAAACACCATGGGAAGAAAACACGCCAAAATGGGAACAAAAAACACTATACCCGTACAATATAGATTTGAAAAATATAAGCTTCTTTTTAAGAGCGGGTATGCTTGGGAGAGCACACACTAGCTCAAAACCTTTAGAAAACGCTGTAGCAAATACCGTGCAAAATTTTATACCGTGCAAAATTTCAGAAATTGCTCTGGGACCGAGGCGAGAAGCATCTTTTTCAACCTTCCTGTGCCCAGTCTAGATGTGCAATGTCAATTACAACAATTAACAGCTCTTCGTCTGCCGACTATCAATGTAAAACACCAATGACAAGGCCATGAATATAGCATCATGAGCGAATATAAACATATTATTAGGTACTATATACATATATACATCAAGATGACCAAGTATATCAATGATATTGCTTTAGTCTCTTGCTTCTGGTTTCTCATACTGCAATGTTCTTTATGTGTCCATTTTGTGAAAAATCTCCCAAGAGCACCCGTATTGTTAATAAATAGGGCCCCCCTCCCCTTTCCCTTTGAGCTTGAATAAAAGTCATTCCAGATTCTAAGAAACGAGTTTAAGAAGTAAATGAAGTGAATCTTTACTTAGGACAAATTCCTGAATTAAGAGCAAAAGAATCTAAGAAAAGACTTTAATAAGGACATGAAAAGAATCTTTTATAAACACAGACAGGAAATTCTAGGAAAGGAGTTTAATAAGGAAAGGAAAAATCTTTATATACTTAGAACAGAAAGGGAATTCAAAAAAAACATAATAAGGAAATGAATCATTCTTTACTTAGATTCTTGGAACAGGCAACAGAAAGGGAATTCTAAGAAAGGCGTGTAATAAGGACATGAAACCAGTCTTCACTTAGATTCTTGGAACAGGCAACAAACATGTTTAGCTTTATTTAGGGTGCGCTTTATTTAGGGTGCGGGTATGGTGGCTTCATGACGGGTAGCCTTTCAATCGTCATTTTGATGAAATTTCAAGTTGCTTTTAGATACGGGTTTTACAAAGAAACTTGTGTCGGAAGCACAGTGCAGTGGCGCCAGTACTCGGCAAGGGCCGTTGGACACATCCTGAAATCTATGCATCCGTGTCAAAAATGCAAAATATAAAAGACTGTGCAACTTATCACAGATGCCTGCTGCGCGACAAAGTTTATGAGAAAACAAAAAACAAAAAGACAAACTCCTATAGTACCCTCATTTTGTCTCAAACATTGTTTTGTTTTTATGTTTTTTTATTTTGGTTTTTGGTTTTGTAGTAGTCCCTCAAAACTGTTATAGGCCTGACCATCACAAAATTGATCTAACAATAGCCGAAAACCCAGGTCTTGGCGATGTTTTAGCAAAAATCATTGTAAAACACAATGTGTCCACTCTAAACTGTTATAGGCCTGGTCCTCACAAAATCGATCTAAAAATAGCTGAAAACCCATGTTTTGGTGATGTTTTAGTCAAAAATCAATGTAAAACACAGTGTCTTTGATCACTTCTTGCACAAAACATCTCCCAGGAGCACCCGTTCTGTTCTTTTTGGGTGGCCGCCCCCCAAGGAAAGCTGGAAGCTAGCCTTCCTGGAGTCAAGTCAAGTCCGTCTCCAACAAGAATGCTCGGCGCCCTTAGCACCGGATACCTAAAAGTCTAAGAGCCTAGGAGAGCATACTATCCTGCATCAAACAATGTTATGATCACAGCTACTCAGCGCTCACACCTGCAAAGAGCTGCTGGGCATCATCCTTTGGCAGTATTGCAGGAATCAGATGTTGGACTTAATGTCCTCTGGTTTCACACGGATGGTAGTCTTCAGGGTTGGATCTGGCAATCCATCAGCTTCTACATGTATGCAAACCCAAATCTTGTTCTCAAATTCTTTGTGGTCATGACATTACCCACCTTGATGCCCATGGCAATCACAATGTTAAGCATAGACTTCCCTGCGTCCTGCAATGCCACCATGGGCCCTCGGCTTTGGTGCTTTCCTTTGGGATGTAAGGAAATGATACTATAACACCAGCTTTCCCAAGCCCTTCTCAAACATTCACTTCAACCATTGTGTGTTTGTTTGCTTCATTCTCATGCTTGCCCTTTGAGAAAGGACAACGATCTTTGCAGAAGGGCTAGGAAGCCACCACTGCAACCCTGAGGAAAGAAAGCAGCAACCATTGGTGGAGTTGGGTTTCAGCCAAGGCGTGCAAGAACTCTTGGCCCGAGATCAAAAAGGATGAGAAGCACCTCTCAAAGCACGCCGAGGATTCAACAAACTCACCGTCGCATGTGCAAGAGACCAATATTGAACCCATAAATCACAAGGAGTGGGCGAGTGTGTTTATTGATGGTATAAAACATGGGAGAGTGTGGTGTCTTCCAAAAATCCGTTCAACTATATAGCCATTGGGCGTGACCTTTGCAGAGCCTGAAACCATTGTGTTAACGCAAGAGTACTGTCTAGGTTTCCTAGGTCCATGCAAACCTGAACAGGACCTGACCATCTTTGCAATCAAGGTTGCGTACTTCTTCATGACATTTCAGGTTCCTGCTTCTGAAAGATCCTATACAAAAAGTAGTAGGCTAGTGACCGTTCTTGATCGAGAGGCTAAACTAAAGTCATACTTTGCTCCCCACCCTGCCCACCACCAAAGATTCAACAACATGTAATTGTTTAAAACAGTTCAAAACATCGTAAAAATAGGGCCTCCACAGCGTGCCACTCTATACTAATAGTTTCTCAATGATTAAACTTTTTATAACTACATATATACATGATATTTCATCAAAATCGCATATTATGTTTCAAATCTTACATATTTTTTACATTAATTTTAGACTAACATTATTTTTGATGAACTACTTTTCATTCCTGATAATTTGCGTTGCACTATATATATATATATTTCAATGTACATAATCACGATCCGCTACAACCAACAAATCCAACAAGTTATACATTTGTATATTGTTGTTTTATTCGTGCCAGCAAACACAACTCATGTTCTATCATCCAAGGTGGGCATTCAGGCTGGGATACAATTGTAATACTATACTGTTGTTCTGAGGCAGGGTCAAAAATAAGTTGGCACCGGGAGATTCCCAAGGCAAAACTAGCGCTTTCTAGTGAACTTGCTCTCAAGGGTCTTGGCATGAGCAATAGTACATCGCAACAATGACACCCAACTCCATTGTAAAGATAAAAAAACATTGGGCCAGCCCTTCTTCATCCCCTCTTGTAAACACATGTTCCTTACTGCTTCACCCTCACCCAAAAATGTATTGGATATTATTGGATAACATCAGCAGTTGGGCTTCATGGGCATGAGAGTTTGGCTTCAAGTGGCTAGGGCAGTAGCACCCGACCCGGCTGAGATACCAACGTAAGTTGACCTTGGTCTTGGTGGTGCAGGGACCAACTCCTGCCAAACAAACATGATAAGCCTGCAGCCTGCTCTAAATTTCTTGGGCTGACTAGGAAGAGCCTGCAGCCTGCTTGGCAGTCTTGTCTAAATGCTCCTGAAAACGCTTGAAGTCCACAATTAAGCTCCCATCGTCTTTGCCTGAATGCTGAGGACAGTACATTCAATCAATCGCCTTTCTACGTTTTGGAAACACGAATCTGCCAGCAACCGCCTCTCGCTGCAAAAGAACCAATAACATTTGCCGGCAGTGCGAAAAACACAGGGAGCAAAGGAGCAATTAAACACCACATCCTGCAAAAAAGACTTTCCATATGCTCTTGCGAGACTCTTGTGTTCAAATCAATGTGGACGCTCCTCGGCTGAATGAAGGTATGAGTGACGTCCCTGTGTGCAGGCCGCTGTGATTGGCTCAAAGCCCTCCACCAAAACCACGATCTGCGTGCACGCCAGTGGAATTAGACAGCGTCAAACATGACACCTGGTTCTTTGCACAAGCGAACAAGCTGTGAGCCTGTGACGTGCAGTGAATCAAACCAGCCTCTATGTTATGTCTGTCAAGGTGCTCCTGGCAGGAACTCCTCTATTGACTATTGAAGTATCTCTTCGCTTCTCAAGACTCAGTCTGTTGTTGTGCTACTTAGCTGTGTCAGGTCCTCAATGCTGTTCCTGGTAAGCGGCCTTCCTTTTTCGGAGCAGGATGGACCTCCTGCCGCGCGAGTTGGATGAATGCAAGTGCAAGACTTGGGGAACAAGCTCATACATACTCAACAGTGAGTGAGACAATGAATGCGAAAGCAGCCTGGATCAAGCATCTGCTTTGCCTGGCAACAGCATTGATGACGTCTATCCAGAAAATTCACTAATGCTGGGCCATTCAACAAATCGGCACCTCCGGGTGCAAAGGGCTATGATGGTCAATCTCATGGATGATCAAGTTGGGTACAACCAAGTGCAAGTAACCTGGGCAATGCCATGATCCACCATAATCGAAAACTCAGGAACCAGAATCTACGAAAGGTGTCTGGCCAAAAAAGGGCGCGTAATAATAACTCCACGAAAACAATACCGCACAAATACAAACAATCACATGCCAATATGTGTGCCACAAATGCATGTGTCGCATGAAAGAGGAGTTCGCAGGCTTCGAGGATAAGCCCAAAGCAGTCTGTCTGATCGTCAGGTTGGATCAGCCGCATTCGCGTGTTCTCGAAATTGCTCAGGGCACCTTCTGAAACGGCCGGCGCAAACGCAACAAAAAACTTTGTCTGGCATCTGCCGCATCCTCCTAGGTGTCGTTGCAAGAGTCACGCATTTAACCACGCTGGCTTTCTTTTCAGCATCAATCGTTGGATGCTGCACGATCTGGGTACCGGGTACATAAGCAAAACAATTTGCAAACATGCACAAACGGATCCTCCGCACTTCTGATGGGCAAACAGCTCCTCTCCTGGAGGCTTTGGCCACTGAATCATAGCTGTTCGAACACGGTCTGAGTCCAATGGATTCTGTTTCATGGACTCGCCCACGCCAAAGCTCCTATTCTGCGGCCTACTGACCATTGTGGTTTTCAGGTGCTGACTGAAAACAGTTGCTTTGATAAAAATAATCGGTGAAACGTGCACTTTCATTCGTGTTCCCTCTTTAGATTCTTTATCTTCCCTCGTCAGCCGGCACCCTTGGAATGCCAAATGCATTCCATTCCATTCAACGTTTGGATTCCCTGTGCACATAGCATCAGGATATGCAACCTGTTTCAATCAAGCATCACTTGGCTCTCCAAAGGCAGCTTAACTCCCGTATTGTGTTGGAAAAGTATCTTCAAATTGCTGGAGCCGCAAAGAGCCAATATCCGACCTCGGGAAAACGCAAGCCTGCTTGCCAGTCTCAAAGCGGTAGGGATCCCAAGGGCCCTGCACCACCACCCGTAGCAGCAATTTTCGCTCTGCAGCAATGCCAGCGCTGGCAATTTCCTGCGAAGTTGCAACCCATTGCGCAACAGTCAAATATATATATATATAATTAAATTGAGTAATTCGCACCTCTTTTTCTGTTCGCTCTGCAGCTAGATTGTCAGGAATATAACAAAACTTGGGAACGAAAAATGAACGAGTTGATAACCCCCCCTTCCCAGTCCACATCACGAGGAAGGGGGCGTATCCGGATAATCGTCCCCCCCTGACCAGGTGGGCCACACCCCAAACCCTGGCCAGGCCCCAAGGGGCACCAGCTGTTTTTCTCATCTCTTTGCTGGTTTAGTGGAAGTGCGCTTCTTTCCTTCCAACTCGTTAAGGGTGGGAGAGGAGGGTCAAGCCGAAGCACTACAGAACAAACAATTAATAAGGTGGATTACTCTTTACTCCCGGGGGCGGGAAACCAAAGAGTAATTCGCACCGCTTTTTCTGGTCGCTCTGCAGCTAGATTGTCGGAATTATAACAAAACTTGGGAACGAAAAATGATCTCCCAAACAAAAACGAATTGATTATCTCCCCCCTTCCCGGTCCACAACACGAGGAAGGGGGCATATCCGGATAATCGTCCCCCCCTGACCAGGTGGGCCACATCCCAAACCCTGGCCAGGCCCCAAGGGACACCAGCTGTTTTTCTCATCTCTTCGCTGGTTTAGTGGAAGTGCGTTTCTTTCCACGTCCCCCCAGACCTTGTTTGCGTCAGGTCGGCCTGTTGCTTTGCAACGGCTCAAGTGTTTCAAATTGTCTGCAGGGTCTGAATTCTGAAAAAGGTCCGAAATGGCGCCAAACGCTGTTCGAGAGGTACCAATTTCATTTCGGCCAAAATGGCTCGGGACTCGTTGAGGTACAAACGTGCGGTTTTCTGGGCTTGCCAACGCCCCAAAATCATCACTCGGTCAAGGTTGCCATGTTGGCAGAACGACCATGTGACATGTGGCCCCACCACGTCTCAAAGAGTAGGGTCTCAGTTCAAGGGGGGGTCGAATTGCAGGCTTTCAACGCAAGTTTTAGACAATTTACACCACCGTGCAGGCGTGGGACAAAGCTTTTGGTGGGGTGACGCCAAGAACACCCACTGCTGTACGAACCGGAAGGCAGTATCGTGACCTACTGACACACTCTCCTGCCACCTGCTCGTTTCCCAGCTTTGGTGAGGCCTAAAGCGATAACTGCAGTCCGCAGTTTTTTGGAAACCTCCCCTTTATTGCGGACCACATCCAAAAGTTCACCGGTGCGTAAAATGCAATAAAAGCATAAGAGCAAACGGGTTGCGAAAGCGAAATGACCATGATACAAACTCCATCCGACCATACACTACGCAAGACAATTCAGGCACAGGCGGGGCACGACTGGGCAATTCATGGGTGAGCCACGTCTTTACCAATCTCCATGCACCCGGGAGGTGTCCCCGAATCTTTGCGTCATGGCCCTGCAAGGATGCCAGGGTATCGGCGGCCAGTCCCCGCCCTTCCCCGGAGAGCCATAGATGCTCGATGTATTCCATGACCAAAGGGTCCAAATGCTCTCGTCGATTGGGCAAGTGCAGGCCTTCGGCCTTGAGAAAACTCAAAAAGCGGTTGAGTGCTTTGTCGTACCGGACTCAACGGGTGTTGCGCTTTTCCAATTATATCTAATATTATAAGTAGAACTTAACCACTAATTAACTGCACTTATTAACTGAACTTATCGTGTTTATAAGTTCCCCACGTTGCCCTGTTTTGTAATTCTAGACAATCACCACATTTTTTTTCCGGGGGGTGGTCGTTTTTGATTTTTTGGTGGGCCGTTTGTTCCGCGCACAGGTTTTGCAGAAAACTCCGACGCGTGAGGCTCGCCCATGCCAAAAATCTGTCGGTAAATCGGGGTTCCATTTTTGTCTGAGAAGTTGTACCCAAAAAGAGGGAGCCAGTTTGACGAGGCCACGCGCGCGCGCGCTGAGGAGATATACTTTTTCACCGCGAGATTCGCACATCAGACCTTCAGGCAAAACAGGTGTGGCGAGGGAGGCACACCACACGGTAACCGGGCGAGCCTCGGATGTCCATCTGGCCTTTGTGGATTCACAAAGGGATTTCTGCAAGCAGAGCTTGAAAGGTTTGAAGCATTTTGCTTCCAAAGGTTACGCGACCATAGCTTCGATTCCAATTTTTTTTACATAGAAGCCATGGAAGCCACCCTTCATTCCAAAGGATCAACATCCTTGATTCCAGGGATCACTGCAGCGGCAGCTCTAGGGTTTCTGTCTGCACTTCCTCATGCCCAAACTCGATTTCCATTTGGTGTTCCTGAGTGGCTGGCACGTGAAATTGGAAAGAAATTCCTATACGGAAAATGCTATGAGAAAAGTTTCCAAAGCTTCAGGTCAAGATTCTGCAAACCTCAAAATAGCATACCAACCTTCGGCCATGAGCTTGTTGTAGGTCGCGTCTTTCCAAAGGTCCCGTTGAGCGGAAGCTGTCCCCAAGGCCATGTGCATGGCTTTAGCAAACTGAAAGAGGTTTTCCCCCACAGCTTTCCGTGCAGGGTCTGGATCTTCATGCAACAGGCAATATACACACTCCATCAAGCGTCCAACTTTTGCTGGATTGGTGCAGTGCTCGAACTGTGGTAGGAGGCACCGTAAACAAAGCTTCTGCGTCCAATTCGTGAAAGGCATGCGGCCTTTGAGTGAGTGCCACCGCTCATGGATAACCTCGAGTTCATCATTGGTCTTCCCATTTTTCCTGCCAGTGTTGGTGTGATGAACTGGAAAAAATGAAATGCCAAAAACACTTCTTCTGTTTTGAAAAGCACATTTTTATAGCCGCCGTGGCTCAGCTCATCGATGAACTCATAGAGCCACACGCGATGAGGAAGCAAGTCGGTGAAGATGTACTGCACCTTGCCAAACAAAGCTGCAGATGAACATTTTGTCAACAAGAATGTGGCCGCACCATGGCCATGTGAACTTCTGCGCGTTCACCACACACCACCACCTTTTTTTCCACGCGCGTGTCCCCAGGCGTGTTTCTTGGCGCAGGGCGAGCCTCTGCCTTCTAAGCGGAGACATGCTCCAGTAGGTTTGCCCAGGCCGCTGTCGGCTCAGATGCTTTCCATGAGAATCTTTCTTCTCGCCATCTCGTTTTGCCCTGAAATTGAACGATTTCGGGCACACATAGATGGTGAACCCACTATGGTGAATGGGTTTCTGAGCTTTGGTGCCTGGGAAAGGCAAAGTGCACTCACCGCTGGTTGGCTTGGGGCTGGTCGTTGGCTTTTTGCTCTTGGCCTTTGCGGCCTTCTTCGTGGTCTTCTTGGCCACTTTGGCCTTCTGTGTGGAAGCTTCAGGCTCCTGACTGTCAGCAAGGCGCTTGCCGGAACCCTTGTTGCGTTGGAGCTGTGCCCTCACAGAAGCGGCCATGGCGTCCACCGTTTTGGGCGGTGTGACTTCCACAGGTATGGTCTCCTTGACTTGTGGAGTGTCCTCCAATTTTGGTTTGGCAGGCTCTGGGCTTGGACTTGGAGCTGGGCTAGCCTCGACTTCTGCTGGTCCATTCACGATGGCCAAGGGCTGCTTCCTTTTGTTGGTAAGATAGGTCAAACCAAGCTGTTTTTGAAGCGCCTGGCCGGCCAACATCTGCTCCAACATACTCAGAACCTGCGACCCCACATTGCCAGTGCAAGTGGGAGAAGGAGCATGCCGAGTGCCTCGAACCACCGTCCTTGTATTCCGGGCTGGTAGGTCAGCGGCCAAGGCCTTCAAGGCCCATTCATCCAAAGGATTTTTCACAGGTACCTGGCCAGCGGGGTAAGCAGCCTTGAAAAGAGCTTCCGGGAGTTCTTGGGGACAAGGAGGGTACAGCAAGAGTTCACTCCTCTTGCGGCTCTTCGAGCAATTCTTCACTGCAGACTTGAAGTCCTGAAGCATATGGTATACCTTCATCCCATCAACTGTGAGATTCTCTGGCGCACCTTGGTGGGAAGCCAGCAACAGGAGTGATATCGCCAAAGCACTTGTGAGCTCTGAAGTAAGGCCCAACGCCACAAAGCGCTTGCAAAGAGCCAAGATCTTGACATTGCAGCCCTGCTTTCCTTGAAGAATCTCCCACTCCTCTGCAGCGAGGTAGTGTTGCAAATGCAAATTTTCCTGCAAGGCGTTGTGGGCAACTTTCTTCACAGGGCCTGAGCCGTTCACACTTCCATTTGCAACCTTTTGTTGCACACATTCGACAATGCCATCCTTCATCCACACAGGAATTTCAGCTGCTTGGACATCCCGGAGTATGCTGGTGGCATCTGGCATTGATAGATTCAAATCCTTGAGATCTACCAGGCAGCTCTCCAAAATCTTTCTGTGGGCCTCCTGAAAGGAACTGCTACCATCGGCTGCTACAGCTTTCAAAGTGGCCAAGAAAGCCAGCATGTCTTTCATTCGCTGGGCTGCCATGAGTGAGGGCCTCAAGACTTCAAGGGGTAACCTCTTGAGCGCAAACCAGGCGAGCCTTGGTTGGGTGAAGTGTGAGCCACAGAATTGAGGATGTGCAACATTGAGGATGTGCGAACTGTCGAAGTCAAATGGTTCAAGACTATATAGTGAAGCCACCCTGACCATGGAAAAACTGGT